TATAGTTTGCAAACTGCGCGTTCAATTTGACCCAAACTTGGAGAAAATTTGGAGAATAGTATAGAAATTTCCTAATATAAAATTCTTTGAATTCCATTTAATTATTGAAATTAATATAAATAATTGTTATTTTTTTTTTTTTTTTTTTTTTTTTCTTACCCTCCAAAAAGTTTATTGAAACAATTACATATATAGTATACAATAATACAATATAAACATGTAATAGTATTATGGGTCAAAACTCTTGGAGTTTCCTATAAATAATTGTTAACAATATAATGACAGTGAAATGTTAAAGGCACTGATCATATGGAGTGGGAGTTAGGTTATGACAATATTTTTATGGGGTTATAAAAATTTAGGATTTATTCAAAGAGTTAATTTATACTGTATTGTTTCATCGATTCCAAACGTTACTAGCATGATAATTACTGCCGTTACTTAGATTTCGTGTAATTTTCAATAAATTTAAATAAATTTTTACTCTGAGTTTGTAAAAAAAAATATCTTGTTTTTGATTGTGCTTATTTGTATTGAAGCTAAACTCGCTCGTCGTGGTAAATAGTTTATGTGTGATTATGTTTTGTTCTGCCTGAAGAAAAGTATTGATCTCGTTAACTCTGAAAAAGCAATAAGTTTCGTTTTGTTATTTCTCTCATGGAGTTTTTGTAACATCGATTTTACGAATGAAAACATGCCGATTAAGTACATATTACTTCTGTTTGAGAAAAAGGTCGTATGTAAAAATTTTTAACTTTTAATTCTATTTGTTCTAAAGATTACATTTCGTATTCTGCAACTGATATAAGCATTCTGCTCCGATGAAAAGGGAGAGGGTAGTAAGTAATGAAATTATACTAATAAATCATAATAGAAACAAATAGTTTTTAAGCTTTCCTGCAAAAAAAAAACAATGTTTACATATGACTTTTTTCACAAACAGTAGTGATATTCATGTACAGTACGTACTAGATTTTTTTGTCCCGATTCATCAAATATGCAATCTTCATAGGCGGAACTTTTAGCATTTTAGTATTCGCTGATGAACAAGACTCGTGGATATCAAACCGTTATATGTTGAGGGATTACTAAATTTTCGAAAACGGTTTTCCCAGAGATTTTATTCTCATACGAAAAATTTTAGACCTTGTAATATAGATATTTTTTAGCCAATGTAAACGGTGAGGAAGCTATACTAACCTTACTTAGCAGACGTTTTTTATTGTGTTGGAAAAACAACAACGTTGTAACATTTTATGAATGAATATAACTTTTTTGGTTTTAACTTGCCATAGTAATGAACCCTAATAAAAATAAAAATAAACTAATACACACTGCTTTGTGAAAAGTGATGAAAATCTATGCCATATTCATGACAGAAAGAGAATAAAACAATGGATAAAGAAAATTAGACCTTTGATACATAATAAATAATTAGTCAGCGTTTAATTAAATTGTGAGGAGGAATTGGAATATAAGGGTTTGAATAGGAATATGAGGAATTTGGAATCAATATTGAAAAAAAATTGCACCATAGGATTCATCTTGTATTTTTACATGATAATGAATGAATGAAATGAAATGAAAAATAATTATATTATTCTGGGACTAGTGCTCCTTTAGAAAAAAATACAAATATAGAATATATATTAATATTCTGGTGTGTTCATAAAATACAGTTAAATATTTACAGGATAATTAGTAATAAAATAAAAGTACAGATAATAAAAATATGTAAGAACGTACATAAATATAAAATAAACAGATAAAGTAAAATAAATAAACATAATATCAATAACTCACAAAATAATCAAAGAGTAATTTGAGATTCTTACTACTTGGATTTTTAACTGCACTTCATGATCAACCAGATTGAGAATGGATCAGGTGTTTGAAGAAGAAAGATTTGAAAGAGGATACTGACTTTCCGTGTCGAATATCAGAGAGAATAGAATTTCAGAGGAAAACACCTTGAATTAAAAAGGGTTTATCAAACGCAGTAGTTCGGTGGGGAGGAGGATAGAGGTCGGACGTACGGGATCTGGAGGACAGGATTGAAAGGAGTGTTTGAATAATAGGATCTGTAGAATATAGGAGGGTCGCTGAGTTCTGATAGCCTGTTATAGGAAGGTATCAAGGAAATATTGACTTCGGTAGGACGTATAAAGCCACTTCAACCCGGTGTAAAACTGGGTAATATACTTATCCCTTAGGATCCTGAAGATAAAGAGTATTGAGCAATTCATTAGACATTTAAGTTTAGCTTCGAGTTCTTCCGAGGGTCCACTATACACCATAGTCGAAGTGAGAAAAAATAAGAGATGAAACCAGGAGTTGATGGGTTTTGAATGGAAGAAGATATCGTAGATATTTAAACTGTTTCAGGGTGGAAATAGTACGGCGGCAAAGTATATTTAATATTTATCTCAATTTTTAAAAAAATATCTTAGGATTCACTATGGCAATCTTTAGATACGATATGATAGTTTTCCTTTTATTTTAGAAAATAATTTCTATTAAAGTAGAGAGGTAAGTGAAAGTTGTGTGTTGCGCGCACCAGATGTTTTAAATATTATATTGTCAATTGTCCACTGACCAATATACAACGCGAATTGTCCACAAGGGCCAACTAGTTTATTATAATTAAATCAGGTAAGGTTGTGTAGTGAGAATAAAATAATATGCAATATTTCATGCAAAACATTTGGTTGTTTCAATTGCTATGGAAATTCGAATTTTAGAGTTCTACAGGGGTCAACGTTATTTCTTCTTACAAAAACTATTTATGGTCACATAGCCATGTCATTAGATCAAATTTATTTCCATACGGTAGATATTTGCCAAATAAAACATCTATTATAACGATTTTTTTTTTGAGAAACAAAGTTGATATTCGCACTCCGAAAAACATTAATATACGAATTTTCATAGCAATCGAACTAATACATTTTTTGCATGAAACTTTTGCCTTGGCCCATCGCAATTTTGTCGCCTACCAAAAAAAAAAAAAAAAAAAAAAAAAAAAAAAATAGGATAAATTCACAAAGATCCACCTAACAACAAGAAAATTATTATGGTCTTAAGACTACACAAAGTGGTAATATAAAAATACTTTTTTTCCCTCGGTTTCTATTCCCATCAGGACGCACGCTGCGTCATGTTTCCAATATTTTTACTTACCTACCTATACTGGGTAAGGAAAGTATTGCGATCGGGTCAAATTTCCGATATGCGGTTTTCGAAGGATCTATACGTTTCAGTGTCCCCTGAGTCAGATAAACATATTTTTAACCATTGGTCTGATTGTCTGTCTGTCTGTCTTTATGTGACTTTTTCTCGGAAACTAGAAAAACCGATTATGTTGCTTATTTTTTTATTTTGTAAGGCTTTGACTACTGATGCCTTTGACACAACTTGGGTTTTCCATGCGCAATAGCTGCTGCGTAATAAATGAAAACCATGTTTTTCTAAAGACCGTAGCGCGAAAACGGTTTTAACGATTTTGGTGAAACTTTCCTATAATGTTCTAATAATTTTCCTTTCAATTTTCGTACATTGAATAAATTCCCGAAAAAAATCAGAAAAAAAAGTTACAAACAAAAGAAAAATGTTTTGGGGCCTAACTCGCTAAGTATATATTCTATGGTAAAATTTATAATAAAACTTTTGAAAGATAATTAAATCACCAAAAAAAAAATCATCGGAATCAAACCAGTATCAGCTATAATACAGCGTATTCTATTTTCTACACATGTTCTAATTTAAAAATCTGGTGTGTCCACTCACATGATTTTCCTACCTATTTCAGAAAAGTTTTTATATCTTTACATATGTTCTTAAAGAAACAAAAAAGAATTGAACTAGATATATTTTCCTGAAAATTGATCACATTAAGATTTGAGAACGATTTATTTGATAAACAAAAATTGTAAAAACTGTAAAAATTTTAATACTTCCTAATATTGCTGATCAAAAACTTTTTGGCATAGCTTAGTATTGTCAAACAATAATTTCTGTTAAAAGCAGAGGAAATAGTGGAGATTGTGTGATGCGGGCAACATATTTGCTTAATTTCACTTACTCATCTTTATTCTCTCATTCACCCCTTTCTGACACTAGGATATGAAACCGTAATCTTACATTGGAAATTAAATAGCTGTAACTTCGTTAATAGTTGTCCAAAATGAACGATTTTTATATGGATTTTTAGGGAATTTCATTAACTTTCAAACGACAGGCTAAACGGCTATTGGATTTTGGAACAATGATTAGAACATTATAGAAAAGTTTCATCAAAATCGTTAGAGCCGTTTTTGCGCTGCAGTCTATAGAAAAACATGTTTTTCATTTATTGCGCGCAAGCTATTGCGCATGGAGCACCGAATTTCTGTCACAGGCATCAGTAGTCAAAACCCTACAAAATAGAAAAAGAAGCAACAAAATCTGTTCGGCAGTTCTCGAGAAATTCTTGGCGAAGACAGACAGACATACCAATGGCTAAAAATGTGTTTTTGGGACTCAGGGAGCTGTGAAACGTATAGATCCGTCGAAAACTGCATGTCGGAATTTTGGCCCGATTGCAATACTTCCTTTACCTAGTACAGATAAAAAAGTAATAAATAAGTAAGAAAATCAGTTGCTTACATCACACAAGCTCCACTATTACCTATAATTTTAACATATATTGTTTGACAAAATTAGGCTATGGCAAAAAGTTTTTGATCAGCAACATTAGAGGGTATTGACATTTTTACACTGATCACCAACAAAAGTTTCGTTGAAATCGATGACCACACGTATATAACCTCTCCTTTTCAGTATAAACAAACGATGCTGATATCTTCACTATAGCTCAGAAATCCGAAAACCTTTCGCCAAACTAATTACTAAATTGCTCTCATTTTTGGAACAGGTTCTTGGAGATAATAAACAAGCATTATACATCCCATGTTTGGGAATATCAAAACCGCTTCCTAATTCCGCTTTCTAGCTGAAATTACACAACACTCGCCATCCGCCGTCATCGGCCCAAGAGCATCTAGACGTAACTCGAACATGCAACCGTTCCACGCTCTCTGAGTTTAACCGTTGAATAGGATGCACTAGGAGCGGTGCATTATGTTGCGTGGTCAAGGCTCTCTATAAAGCACAACTCTATTGAAAGGACACTTTTCAATGTCACAAACATTTTTTATTTTATAATGATGTAGAGATGGTTGACCGTTGATATAATATGAGAAGGAGTTAGTCAAGGATGCGGTCAAATAAATAATAAATTAAAATATATTAATTATTTTAATTTTTGCCGACGTTACGACCCACTTTGCAGGTCGTCTTCAGGGCTACAAAAGATACAAAACATGTTGAAAATAAAAAATAAATATAAGTAGATATAAAATAAGAAAAAGTTGTCAGATACAGAAATAAAAGGTGGTATCAGAGATATAGTGGGTGACAATGTAGTTAAATATTAAGAATTATATATGTAGAAGAAACAAATAAATGGAAAATAAGTAGGAATAAAAATAAAAATAAAGGAGAACATAGCATGTAAGTTAAAAGTAAACAGATTGCGATAAAAGATAAGGAATAAGTGTATAACAAACTAATAGAGATTACATTAGATAACTGTGATAAAGAAAATAAATACATGCATGTTAACGAATAAATAGATTGAAAATTGAATAAGTATTGTTACAGTAAAGTTAAAATAAGGATAAGATAACATAATAATAAGATATCAGTGGATAACAAGCTAGTGGAGGTTACCTTTGATCGTAAGTAAACAGATAACGGGACTAAAGGTTAAGAAGTGAAGAAATTGAAAGATTAAAAGGATAACATTATTGTGATATCGTTGGGATAGATTGTTAAGTATAAATAACTCTATAAGAAAACAATAATTTTAAAAGAATACTTTAAAATGTAAGAATAAATGTAAAACAAGGTTATGATGATAAAGAAACAAAAACAGGTTGCACTATATATAGATGACAATTGACATTCAGTTTTTTGAAAGCGGTAATTGAATAGTAGGCTGCATGAAGATAATAATAAGGTGTATAGTTGAAGGATAGGTGTATTAAGAAAATAATCATAATAAAAGTCAAAACATACCATAGGATATAGCACTGCGGGAGGCAGTTGAAACACTGGCAGTGTCAAAAAAATAAAATATTTTAATTTATTATTTATTTGACCGCACCCTCGACTAACTCCATCTCATTTTTTATTTTAAGTTTAGCTTCTTCATCTGCACTATGATGGTAGCAACCGAAAAGAGTAGGTTACCGACGTGGGATCACCAATTTCAACGAGAAGTTTCTTGGTGATACTAGATCGAAAAATATTATATCCATTTGCGAGGATTTTTGTCAAACTTAATAAATAAATATACATTGCCGGACATAATAAAAGGATCACTTAAATATTTTAATTTTACTCAATTTTAATGGACATTTTAAAGGGCTTATTTTTGAATATTAAAATAGAACAAAAATCAAGAAAAAAAAAACAATGCACTTTTTAAAAACTTTTATTCAACATACAAAAAGATACACACAAAAAAATAAAAATAGAAAAGCACAGATTATTGAATAATTATATTTCTTTCTTTTATTAATAATAAAACGTTAAGACAATTATATAGATATAATATAGTTATTTGAATGAAGTTAATTATATCTATGTTGTATCAATGAACTTAAGTTAATATATTACTTCTCTTTTTTTTCAAAGATCAATCGATTTATAAATATTGTAAAAAGGAAAAAATAAAATAAAATTTTAATATCGTTTTCATTTCCTATTTTGTTATAATCAAAACTTTAATTAAAAGATTTACTCTTACTATATTTATATATATATATATATATATATATAAACAATACTTTCACCTTATGTTAATGATATTTCATCATAATATAATTGCATACTTTTACTGAAGTTTATATTCCACTGAATGGATAAGTAGGATAACATTCTAATTATTTCAATTATATAACTTTATGTTAATTACTGGCTGGTTGATTTAGGTTTCGCAAATAAAACTATAAAGTAATTTTTAAACCTTTTTATTGATCTAACCTATATTTATAAAAGTAATAAAAATTTATTTTTCCATTCTGTGATGAACATTCACTTATTCATTTAGAAAATTTATTGTTAAGCTTTTAGACAGCTTTATCTTGGAAGAAAACCGTTACGTTATTGCTAAAGCTCATTATTATACTTTAAGAATTTTTTTTTTTTAACTTTCTTTATTGAATATTAATACATTCTGCCACATTGAAGGGCATTAATATTAAGGCTACATGATTCATTCACACAATATGTACATACAATTAATATCAATAATAAAGAAAAAGAAATATAAATAAAATAAAATAAGTAAATTGGTATGCCTGTGTACAAAAAAAAAAAAATGAAATAATAGATAAAAGCTAGATGAAATTAAAGTAAATAAATCACATTCACACCTATGTACAATATTTACATTCACCCAGGGGACTCTGAGTCATGCCATATTCCCCGACGTGGAAGTCAAGGCAGGACTCCAGGAGATCCCAGTGCTTCTCTCAGCCGCGTCACTGTTATTGGAAACCAGTGGAAACTGATGGAGGGCACTATAGCGACAGACGCTCAGGTCTTGAGTGGAGAATCTGGCCATTGCCAGTACTCCAATATATACATATTTACAAAAGGTCGCGGGGCCACTGCCGTTTTAACCTCCGGGGAGGATTGTAGGGATGACTGGAGCTAGATAGGGATTGTGCTACAGGATTTGGATGATGAGTGAGTTTCTGGTGAAATTTGGAAAAATTTTCTGGGATTAGGTCAATAACAAATGGGATATGAAGGTCATTATGGAGGGTTTTGTTGGATACATAGAAGGGAGCATCGACTATTGTTCGGAGGAGTTTAAACTGGAAAGATTAAATGCGTTTGATGTTAGAAAGTTTTGCTGTCCCCCACAGTTCTATTCCGTAGGTCCAAATGGGTTTCAGGATTGTCTTGTAGATTAATAGTTTGTTGTCGACTGAAAGTTGAGATTTTCTATTCAATAGTCTGTGTAGTTGTCCGTATCGTCTGTTAAGTTGTTGTCTTTTAAGTCTGGTGTGTGGGTTACATGTTAGTCTTTTGTCTAGAATAAAGCCAAGATACCGGACTGTGTCGGACAGAGAAAGTGGTATAGAGTTGAAGTAGAGTGGTGGATAGAAATTGCGTCGAAGGGTAAAAGTAATATGTTTGGATTTGGATTCATTTACTTGGATTCGCCACTTATTACACCAGTGTTCAATAAGAGGGAGGTGACTTTGTAGGTTTAAGGATGCTATTTCAGGATCTGGATTGGAAGATAAGATGGCTGTGTCATCAGCGAATGTTTCCAGGAGTGTTTCAGGATGAGTAGGAATATCAGCGGTAAACAGAGTGTAGAGGACGGGACCCAAGACGCTGCCTTGAGGAACTCCCGCCTCGATTGAATGACAGTTGGAGGATTCTGTACCATAGCGAACTTGAAAGGAGCGGTCAGAGGATAAGATATAAGGAATGGAGTAGTTGGGCTGTGAGCTTGAAGAGCAGTCCGGCGTGCCATACCCGATCTTAAGAAAATTAATGTTCTTATGTTAAATTTATTTTATCAATTTCTGTATCAATCTTTCAATACATAGTAGAAATCTCCAGAATACTATGTAACTTTCAAACGGAAATTTATATATATTTATTATGTCCACTATCCCCTTCCAAAACTCCTTCCTTGACCGCTCTGCCACTTTCTGCAATTTCCTCCACTTAAAGCACGGTGTGCTTCCTCCTCAGCCATCTTTAAACCTTAGATACATAAAAGAATACATAAATCGTATTTATTTCTCTCTTGACTGAATTAAATAACAGTTGTGATGTTTTATTTATTTGTTTAGGAACTGGATGTTCATCTATTAGACAGATTTATTTTTTATTTTTTTCCTTTCTATCTTTTTTATCTTTGTATTTTTTCTTTATTTTTTAGCTCAACGATTACTTTGGTTCATTTCTTATTTGTTTTGTATATAGTTCTAAGTATTTTGTGAATAGTTTTATTAGTTTTGTTTTTATATATTTTTATTTTATATAAGTTATTATGTCTATTTATTTATTTAATCTAACAGTTCTTCTAACCAGAAGTAATTGTTTTTTTTTTGACTGTTATTCCTAAGAATAAAGTTGGTTTTATATTTTTAGTTCTACTTTTAGGAAAACAATGAATAAAAAAAAAAATACTACTACAGGAATAACCCTATCTATCCTAATGGAATAATAATTATTATTCAAATTATTCAGTGAGATCTTGTGGATGTTTTAAAACGATTTGAACTCAAAACACTGACAAAATATTGAATAAAACGTTTTTAATTTGCCAGTTAAACATTTCAACCAATATTTTTTATTTTTTTTTATTTCTTAAAGACATTTACAACTGTATTAAATAAATACATATAGTAAATTAGAACATTATGTATATAATGACATGAAAAACACTTGCTGAGTAACTACCCAATGGTAGCACTCTAATGATATGTTTACATTAGGAGATCACGGGGCCATCTTCTTTTCAGACGCCTCGGAGGGTTGTCAGGAGTTGAAGAGGAAACAAGGTTAGAAACGAGAGGGTTGGGATGATTCTAAAGTTTATTATGGAAGGATAGGTATCTGGATTGGGCCAGATCTGAAACAAAAGGAACATTAAGGTCATTATGGATGGTTTTATTTGTAACAAAGTGGGGAGCATTGAGGATTTTACGAAGGATTTTGGATTGTAAGGATTGGATACGAGAGGAATTCGATGGTTTAGTGGAGCCCCATAGCTCAACTCCGTAAGTCCAAATAGGCCTTATTATAGTCAAGTTTATGAGTCTTTTGTAATTAATTGGAAGATTAGAGCGTTTGTCTAGTAAGTGCTGAAGTAATCGGAAACGTCGAGCGGTTTCTTGTCGTTTCAGTCTAGTATGAGGATTCCAAGTTAGTCGTTTGTCCAGGTGGAGTCCTAGGTATCGGATTTTCTCAACAGGGATAAGTGGAGTATTGTTAAAGGAAACTGTAGGACAGGCAGTTGTTGGTTTACGACGAAGGGTAAAGGTAATTTTGTGGGATTTATTGGAGTTTATATTTAATTCTCCAGTTTTAGACCCATTGCTTCACTAGAGTTATGATAGTTCATTGTTACTGAAGATACAATTCATCGGCATATGTGTGATTGACATGTTTGGGACGAGGTAAGGATGTCAGCTGTATAACTTGTATAGTGGATAGACCTAGGAGACTACCTTAGAACACCAGCGGACTGGGAAACCAATATTTAAGTTAGATTATTCAAATTAATCAGTCAATTGAAACGATTTGAATTTTGTTTTTTTATTATTTTATAAGTGTTCTCAATTTTAATAAGTGTACATTTTTTTGTGATATTCGTGTGATATTGACAATAGAGAATTACAATAATGAAAAAAACCCTAAAATAAAACAATATCTATAAACAAGTAGACTACAGAAATAATCGCATCTTTACTGAAATAAAATATAGAATTAACGAAGTTTTGTACATGTATACATATTAAATATACAGGTCCATCCTCTTAACAAAGACACTGCATTTAATATTATCTGAATTATTTCACTCTTATTATGGTTACGAATTGGAAATAAGAATAATTATAATTATATGATAACATAAATTGGCAATAAGGCAAAATTTTTAATATAGATTTTTCAAGAAATTCAAAATTTATTTGAGTCGCATTTTCGTTGTGTTTAGTTTATGTTCATGAAAAATAATATAATCTGAACAACAGAATACATGTATATTACAATTATACGATTTAAGCAACAAGAAGGTAGTACAATTAAATGAATACTTGTGATAATTTGTAAAATGGGGGTTGTTCCGTTTATTTATTTTACGTAAAACTTTCTGTAAAATATAGTAAATATATATACTGAAAATGAACCTACGATTTTAATCTGGACGCTGATCTTTAGCATTGAACTTAATTTTTTTCATAATTTAACATATGTCTATTTTAGGCCATAGGTCACCAAAAAAACACAGTTTTTTTATTTATTTCATGTATGTTTATTTCAAACGTTTCAGCTCCGAGAGCCATTTTCAAGAACTACAAACTTAATTTGAATTTACTTTTACATTTCAAGTATAGCCTCAGACAAAACAACATGTATCATTCACCTCCATGCACCGCCCACAAAATTTTTAAAATTTGTCATTACGATATGATCCGCCCTAATTCATTCTTTATTTCAAAGAATGACGTTTCCGTTTCAAAAATTGTAATATAATTATAAATTAAAAATAGACTGCTAAATTAATTTAAGTTTTTAATTTTTCCGTATTATATACCTCTATTTGCAGACGGTATCAAGAAAGTATTGTTCTTCAGATATGGCATTCATACAGGACTGGATTTGACTTACATAAGAGTTGGGGTGGAGGGGTTTATGATCAGAACTGTTTTATATCAGTACGCCTAAATATTAATTTTGTCATTGTGCTGAGCAATAAACGGTTAAGATTAGCAACATCTGTCTTTGAATTCCACTGAATGTTTTAAGATTTTATAGTGATAAAAAAAGTATTCAATGAGTCTACTTTCCAATAATTTTTGTTTCTCTATGCAAACACGAAGCATACCGAAATCAAATTTATGTCCCCAATCTTTTTGGGGTATGCTGCGTATAATACCTGTAGCTTAATTTTGATTTGTCGTTTGAATAAACATACAATGAAATAAATAAGAAAAACTGTTTTTTTGGTGACCTATGGCCTAAAATAGACATATGTTAAATTATGAGAAAATGGCCCCAACCCGAAGGATGGGACTAGAAAATTAATTTTTTTCGTTGTTTTTATATGTTTTTGATAACTTCAAAAAGGCATATTAAAATATACTGTTTTTTCCCATTTTCCGACAGCTGTATATTAGTGATATTCCAAATTATGACCAGAAAAGTTATTTACTTGTCTAATATTGTAGGTAATGGCCAGATGCCATATTTTTATACAATTACATTTATTGTTTGCATACAGTTTTTTAACAGTTAATCAAATATCTTTCGTGTTCGAATACTTGAACACTCTCAGTGCTCAAACCACGCCCTGAAGATGACCTGGTTTGGGTTGAAACGTTGTCACAAATAAAAAATTAAATTTTTTTTTAAAAAAAGACTGCGTCCTGAATCTTTATCATCCAGAATAATATTGATAATGAGATACTTTTTTTTAAAACTAAAATGTTAAAGTGAAAGAATCATATAATCAGTAATCATTTTTTTATTTTGTTTTCCATTAAGAAATAATACATTTTGCTTCACATAAGGGCATAAGTCAGGAATGAAAGAAAATTAACAATAATTGTATTTTTAATCTCACTAAGAATTCAATAACTGAGGAAAGCGTACGTTGTTGGCTTGGTTTTTGTCTGATAACGGCCATTTTTCACTTTCATGTAAAAAAAATATTCTGTTATTTTCTTAATACACTTGATTGAAATTATCAAAATATCCAACTATATGCATTAATCATCAAATATGGAGTATAAAATTTTAATAACAACACATCTGAGTACAGTTAAGAAAAAAGATATTTGATTAGCTGTTAAAAAACTGTATGCAAACAATATATGCAATTGTATAAAAATATGGCATCTGGCCATTACCATGATATGTAGAACAGTCGACTATCTTCCTTCAAGAATTTATCAGTATCATTATGTTTTCAAATATTTACATTTACACTTACAGTTTGTTATGTGCTAATTAGTTTTATAACTACTTGCCTACTAATAGGCGTTTTGTTTATTTTTTTAAATATTGCTAATTATTTTTATTTTTTATGGTTATGATATACTTATTACTTTCACTTACGTATATATGTAATATATAGTAAGTGTAAGTATTGCGATCGGAGAAAATACTTTGAGTACCGCTGAGACGACATGACCACGTCCCGAAAAATGCCTTGTGTTTGTATGTTAGCATTCTAGCTCAAAAACGAAAAGTCCTATGAAACTCATAGCACGTATTTAAGATAGCATATGCCTAGTTGGAGGCAACTTTTTCCTTAAAATCGCTAAACCGGAAGTACCACTTTATATCAACGCTGAAATACATTTTCACAGTTTTTCACAAAAAACGCTCAAACGATTTGATTATACTCGGTTATCATTGTATAATTAAGTATATTAATATCAATTAGCCTTATCCCCATTGATGTCACTTTACAGCTTAAATGCCCAATTACATAAAACGTTTTCCTCTAAAGTACCTTTAATATGGTTTATCTTAAAAAGATAATTATTTCGCATTATTCAGAGTTACAAAAAAATGCTATATATAACTTTTGAAAGAATTTGGTAAGTTAATAAAGGAGAAAAAAAATGCAGAAAAACGTAGCTATTGACTGTAGCGCCTAAACGAATGTACCGATTTCATTGAAACTTCGCTAAAGCCATTTTTTTGACACCCTTCAAATTTATCTAGATAACATACTTTAACGAAAAGAAGCTGAAAAAAAAGTTGCGAGGGATGGTAAAATTTAATTCCGAATAACTCGAAAAGTATACACTTTTTTGGCAATAGTGTGATAAATTGTTTCAAAGGTATTTAAATTGCCTAAAAAACAAAAGAAGTTTCATCGAAATCGAAGCACTATTAGTAGAGATATCGCGATTTTTTTAATTTACAGAACAGAAAGAAATTATTGGAAATAAAATAAAAGTTATATTATACTTGTGGTCTTACTAGCCTTACTGAGCGTAAATATTACAATATTTTCTACTGACAGTAGATGGGAAAGTCACTTGGTGCAATACGTGTACCCTGGATTTTAGGATATCAAGGATTAATTAAAACAAGACAATTTTTAAACATTTTTAATTTAACAAATTACTGGAAACGTTCTCTCAAATAACAATAAATAATACTATTAACTGGTAAAATTCATGGACTATAATTAGTATTTATTTTAAACCCTTCCATTGGTCGTCATTTCCAGCGGACGAGTGCTCGTCGAAGTCGAAGTGACCAACGCTAACGACGGAACTTCCGAGACTCTTTCCGGGACTGTGACCACTTCCTGAACTACTGGTTTGACTTCCTCCACGACTGTCCAGACCGCTGCTATATCCGGAGAATTCGCTGGAACCTCCTAAACTGCCCTCTTGATCGTCAGAGCTTTCAAGACCTTCATGATGAGTGTCTAGTTCGCTGTCGATCATTCCAGAGTGGTGGTGACTGAGATCACTGCCTCCAGAAGTTCCAAATCCTTGACTACTTTTTCCAGAACCTTTAAAGTAGTGGATATGACCACTATCACCTGAATCTCCAAATTGGTGATTTCCAAAATGTTTATCACTGAATCCTCCGCTTCCAAAGTGTTCGCTGGATTTTCCTTCTCCAAGATGTCCATATTCATATCCACCTCCGAAATCTTCACTGATATGATCATAATGTTTTACATCATGTTTATATTTCTTAATGTGCTTGTAGATTACTTTTTCGTGATTAATTTTCTGAATTATTTCAGGAACATGGATTCTTACATGAACACTGAAAAAAAAACAAGGTTTATATTCTTTTTTTTTTAATATTTATTTATCTAGATATATAATATTCTGTCTCGTGGACAATAATTATAGTGATAAATGAACACATTCACACCATATATACAGAACATTTAAAATTAAAATAATAACTAAATAATAATAAAAGAAATTATGTACAATAAAAAAAATAAAATAACCTAAAGATAGTAAGAGCACAGTCATAACTATATACAAGTTTATATTAAATACGTGATTTGTGTTACTTTTCCTGTTATAATTTAATTCAGTAAATGTAGAGAGAAATACTTTATTTAAAGCAGTGCTGCCCTACTATATAGGGTTGCTAGATACACAGCAAACTCATCAATCTTTTTTTTTGGACATACAAATTATATACAAATTCCTTTTCACATACAAACAATATAACTACTACAATCTAATAATACATACAACTATAATCATAAAATATATTATACCAATAAAAAAATGTTTAGTTGTTTCGTATTTACATACAACAGCAATTTTTCATTGATTCAAATCCACCTTTAACCAACAATACACATTTAGTAATTACTAAAAAATCCTGATTATTGTTATTTTGATTTGGGTATTTTAATGTCGTTTAAGAATCGATTATAATATAGGCATCGAATGAAAATTGAACCAATTTGACATTTGCCAGGAGCATCAGATTTTCATGTTCGCGAGAATTTTAAACACATACAAAATAAGAAATAAACATTTGAGGGAGAGGAAATAGTTTTTTTTTCTTAGTATTCCCGTTTGTTCATAAATATATTATTTTGTAGCTTTTAGTACTGATATTACTTAAATTGGGAAAACGTTGATTGGTTAATTTCCAGTTATTATTAAGGGTAACCTAATTAAGGGTATTTATAATATAATTCAGCGTGCATATTCGCACAATAACCTCTAAAATATTAAAGGAAAAATACATACAAACAATAAAATTCATTAAAAATATATATATTTATGCATGTGTTTTTTTTTTTGCTTAGTTTTAATTTTCTTATTTTATTTTCTATTGTATATACTTTCGATTATTATTTTGTTTCCATTTATTTTTTATTTTTGTACATACAGTGTGAATGTCATTCTACCTCAATATAACCAATGTCCAAGAGGCAGATTGTTGTAATACTCAATAAAGAAATAAAAAAATAAAATATATATATATATATATTTTAAATTTATTTCATAATTGATGTTACTTACTGCTTTTTAGATCCAAATGCGTTGCAAAAGCTGAAGGTTAAAGCCAGAAGAAAACAAAACGTCATCTGAAACTGATAAATGTAAATAAAGAAACGAAATTATTTATTTTCAATATATTAGTTTATTCAACAACAGTAAAAACTGTTATAATACAAACAAGGCTATGAAAAACTGTAATATAATAAATATATAAGTCATCATTTTTAGAGGGGAACTTATATGATGCAAGGTTAGCTGTATGTTGCCGAGCGCCCTCTGTGGATTTCGGATCGACTTTCATGAGTTCCACCTTACCAATCCTTATTTATCGTTTAATTAGATATGAAATACATTCATAGTTTATATTTCTGTAGTGCTCTCCATCAGTTTCCACTGGTTTCAAATAACAGTGACGTGGCTGAGAAAGAAGCAATGGGATCTCCTGGAGTCGTGCCTTGGTTTCCACATCGGGGGATAAAGCATGAGTCAGAGTCCCCTGCGTGAATGTAAATATTGTACATAGTTTTGTATGTGATTTATTTACTTTAATTTCATCTAGCTTTTATCTATTATTTCATTTTTTTTTTGGTCACAGGCATATCAATTTACTAATTTTATTTTTTTATATTTCTTTTTCCTTATTATTGAAATCGTAGTGATTAATTTTATGTACAAATTGTGTGAATGAATCATGTAGCCTTAATATTAATGCCCTTTAATGTGGCAGAATGTATTAATATTCAATAAAGAAATTTAAATTTTTTTTTTATATTTAACCGTTTTTAATTATTAGTAGTAATGTGAAGTGGAAAGTTATTTAAAATAAAAAATAAATTAAGATACAATAAATTAAAAAGAAAGAACACTTAGCATTTAAGCCATGCAAGAATATTTCAATGAAAATAATACATTTCTGATATTAAAAATCACTTCATTGGCTTTATAAGTTTAATCATAATCTTTAGAGCATTTTTTGAACATATAAATGTGTAAATTCAATCATACAAAGTGTCAATTATAATTAGTTGATTTTGGCGAAAAAATTACTGTAATATCCTTGCCATACCTATACTCTAAATTTGTAATTTCAGTTTCTAACGACTTTTCATTTTATAATTAATGTATGTATATATATAAACACTGTTTCAGGGTTAAGTGGCCAAACTCAATGAACTAAGGACCTCAAAACAAGAAAAAAAATCCGCTGAAGGTATGTCCGCAAACGCTTTGTTTATGAGATATTTACACCTACAGGTTTTCATTATTATGAATTATTCATGTTATATTGAGTAGATAAAACTTATTTTATTTGTTCTAACTACTTTATTAATTAAATGTAAACATTAAAATCATATTAAATGTTGTTCAAAGTGATTTCCTTGAGCATTAAGTCAGATTCGTCATCTTTTTTCAACAGCAGCAGTGGTAGAACGGATATGTGATATTGTTTCACAAGATTCAATTATCCTTCTTCGATTTTTTTGGTACTCTTCTATTCGGAAACCACCTGGCATATTCATGACGGGCAGAATTAGCATTGCCATTGCAAAAACCGTATAAAACACCATATCGGCATATTCACCGTTAGTATAAATGGAAGGCATAATGATGAGTACTCTGCGAAAGCCTCTCACAAACTGATAAATGTTATTGAAAGTTTCCATTGCTAATTCCGAATAGTATTAATCTTAATGTTGCCAATAGTTTGTATACAGTTAGGGATAAAAGGCCATATCAGTATTCTATCGAATCCATCTCCTAAGCAAATCGTTGCGGACTTACCTTCACTTTGAACGACATTTAACATAAATGTTAATGTTTAAATTAAATTAATAAAAGAGTTAGAACAAATAAATAGGTTTTATTTATCTCATATAATGTAAATAACTCATAACAACGAAAATCTTTAGGTATGACTGTCTCCTAAACAAAGGGTTCCCGGACATACCTTCAAAGGAAATATTTTTCTTGTTTTGAGATCCTTAGTTCATTTTTGCAGTTTAGCCAGTTAGCTCTGAAACATCCTGTATTAAGTTAAAGTAATAACTAACATTGACAGCCTTCAATTTAGCCTTAATTTCCACTTCAATATTTTTTTCTGGTTTACATCGAACCTACTATCAGAATTTTTTAAAATATTTAAACGTATTCACTTCTATGCCTATTATTACTGAGATTTTTTGCCGTTTTTGTAGCTAACCACATATGAATTGGCTATTCTGACCTCCTCTATAATAGTTAAACTTGGCGAATCTAATTATAAAACTGTAAAATCAGTTGAGTAGCGACGGAAGGTATCATACGTAAAATTTTTTCCTCTGCTCAAAATGGATCTATTCTTACCTATCCCTTATTATACAACACTGGGTAAAAAAGATAAAAATGAGTGGGGGGGGGGGAATTAAAAATAATTATTTTTTTTTCTTAAAATGGGATAGATATAATTCAATCCTAACTTGCCTTGACTCCACCTCCCTCCAAAGCAGGCCGCGTAAACCTTGGATTGGCTAAAATTCAACATATCCGCTCCATTTATCCTCAACCAGTCTCCACCATTCCGCCCAACACGAAATTAATACATATAATAAGTATTTTGCCGAGTCGGCTAAGTTGACGGGAGAAAGATATTCTTTCGCCAACGGCCATACCACGTTGAACACACCGGTTCTCGTCCGATCACCGAAGTTAAGCAACGTCGGGCGTGGTTAGTATCTTGGATGGGTGACCGCCTGGGAAAACCGCGTGCTGTTGGTATTTTTTTTTTCTTGCTAATTATATTTCTTTTTTTAATTATTTATCTGTTTTACCAACATTATTAAATTCGTGGGACGTTACCGAAAGTTATTCGCCTTGCTAAATCGGCTTGCTGTAAGGTCAAAGTTTAAAATTAACGTATTAATTTTGAGCTCCAGTTATTTATCAACTTTTATCAATGTTGTATTTAATTTTGAAGTCTCTGCGCTTTAGTGTATCAATATCAATGAAAATGTTTTTTTCATATATTTATTTTTTATTATAAATTATTATATACCAGAAACGCTATTTTATTTGAAGGATTAAAGTATTGTTGCTCACGTTAATTTATAAAAAATAAAAACACATCTCTTTTTTGAAACTGTTTTCGCTACGAGAAAAGTTCCAATACTGACCTGGGACAAACTGTTACGAGTTCCTACTGTTAAATAATGTGTAATAATAATTCTTCACGGTAACTGAATCTCTATTAGGGTAATTAGAGCTCCATGACTCTTATCTAAGGAGCATTAATGTTCCTTCTTTGATGAATCCGATCCGTATCTGATGAAAGCTTTAAGGTCAAGAGAAGGTTCAACACTTTAAGTAAATTACACTTGTAAATAACTCCAAGGTATTTATTATATAGGCATTTCCAAGTCAATTGTAACCCTGCCGATAGTAAAATAATTCTTAAATATTATTACTTATTTATTTTCATTTTTAAAAAATTATCAGAACACGACTATACTTTACTTACAACATTTTCTGATGACACAATGCACACATCACTACCCACGTATAGTATTTTGATGAATGAGGTATGAAACGAAGGGGAATTTCATGGAGGAGTGACGTATCTCTATTTCGATCCTAACTTGAGTAAAAGTCATTGAGAAAATAGGAAAATTATAAAGCTCAAATGATTTCAGAAGTCTACAGATCAAGGAGCGATCAATTTTGGTTTAAAGATTTTGACGCGGTTGTCAAGATCTAGTATAGTTCCTTTAAAATGTCCCATTTTCGAGATAAATATTTATATACAATGTTGCCCAAAATCGGTCTTGTTCTTGCATTCCGCAAGACCAAGAATAAGATCGTCTAACTGTTGCAAGACCAACATCAAGACTGGTAAAAATAAATCGTTTTTGTGAAAAAAATTAATAGTTATTATACTTTACAATTTTAGTTACTATAGGTAAAGAATTGGTATAAACAAAGCACATTTGTATTTAACTCTTTCTTCCTATCTTTGCAGTTACCCTTACTTAAAATTTACAGTAATATCTCTGTAGTAATGAACTAGTAGATAAGGCTGGGATGATTTGGGCAACAATAATTCCTACCGAGAGCCTCTTAGGTGATATGGTGATATATTTATTGAATATAGTAATTATTATATTATATATAATATTATATTGTGATATATTTATAATTATTATATAATAGAAAAGGCACAATGCAACGCGCAGTGCCAATATTAGAAATAAAAGTATCAAATTATTGTTGTGCTAATATGAAGCTGGACAAGTTGGACATACATTATGGTTACAAATCGGTAATAAAAATAATTATAATTATATAATAATATAAATTGGCCATAAAGTATGATGTGTAATATAGATTTTTAAATAAATTAAAAATTCGACCGAACTGTGGTTACGTTCAGTTTATTTTATGGTAGTAAAAAAAAATGTAATTTGAGCTTCAGAATACATGTAAATTAAACTTATACAATCTGAGTAAAGGTTAGTATAATTAAATGAATAATTGCACAATTATTAAAATTGGGGTTGTTCCGCCGTTAGGCAGACATGGGGTACCACCCTAGTCAATTAAAAAGATAAATGGAGGAGAAGAGCTCTGCATTCTCTAAAACACTTTCCATAGAGAACATTTTTTATATTTTATAATAAATAAAAAAGTATGGCTTCTGTACTCTGGTTAATAAAATTTTATATTCTTAGTTAGTAACTACAAACCAAAGTTATTCTGCGGGCAACAAATAGGTCTTTAGGGAGTAAAATAATCGATTAATATAAGTTCAGGAATAGTTGTGTCTCATAAAGAGAGAAATAGCTCTCTAATGTGATAATCTTCACGGGGTTAAACTAATCTAAAATATTAACCGAAATTTTGGCTGCTAAATTAATTATATATATATATATACATTTACCTGTTCCATGATGACAGAGAAGAGATAAGCAAATCGATATTTGGACTGACAGCCGATTGAAATGAAGCGATTCTATATACAGCTCTCTGGAACCAATCCCCTCTCCCTGAGGGTTTCCGGTTGATTTGGCTTTCAGCTAATTACCGCGTGGGCGGAGGGATATGCAGATCGCAGTGGCCGTGGTCAGGGTCCTACAAAGGAAATTCCTCCCGGGCCGATATTCCTTCGGCGTGTCCATGTCCTTCCGCTCCGTTGGGTTTTACGTCACCACATTCCGGTCGAGCCTCCGGGGTAATAAGGGGGGATGCTCTGGTTTGAGAGAACTACTCCAATTTATTTATTTAAATTAATAAGTTAATAAATAAAATTACGAAACTAAATAAATTATATTGAACTTGATCTGGGAAGTTGGATTGGCGAAGTATCTGAGTTAAAGTTCCAACTGGAGAGGCAGATAAACTTTACGCTGAAGAAGATGCTAAGAACATCATCACGATAATATGAAAGGGTACTACGACGGAGTGAACCATAAAACAGATGGTTATGCAGATGATATTGAATTTAAAGGGAGAAATCGAGATGAAATCGAGAGACCCGCTAAGATTCTGATAACACGAACGGAGCAAAATAACCTCCGAGTAAATGAAGATAAAAAAAATATATATAATAATGAGCCAAAAACTCAACCCCGGTAGTAGGATATTCGAAGAAGAAAAATCGTTCTTGAGAGTAAACAAATTCAAATATCTCAGATCCGCAATAACAAATAGTCAGAAACAGACCAGCATTTAACATTTAACAGAGCTTTATTCTCTCCTCAATGAAACTCAAACTCAATGAAATCCTGAAAAGTCCCTAGCATTCTTTTTTTTATTTTTTTATTTATTTATTGAGTATTACAACGATCTGTTACTTGGACATAGTTATAGTGAGGTAGGATAACATTCACACTATATAAACAAAAAATATAAAACAAATAGAAGCAAAATAACAATAAATAATAATCAAAAAGTATATACAATAAATGAAATAAAATGATCTAAAAATAAGAAAATTAAAACTGAACAAAAAACACATATATGCCTATATAGAATCAGCCGAGGCAACTGCAGGAGAATTCTCAACCGCATCACTGTACTAAAGCCAGCGGAGATTGGTCGAGACCATTTTAGCCACATACACTCATGTCTTGAGTGGATAATCTGGCCATTGCCAGAAATCCAATACATACAATCTACAAAAGGCCGCGAGGCCACTGCCATTTCAACCTCCTTGGAGGATTATAAGGATGGGTGGTGCTTGATAGGGATTGTGCAAGAGGATTGGGATGATACGTAAGGTTCTGGTAAAATTTGGATAATGTTTCTGGATAAGCTCTAGGACAAAGGGGATGTTGAGGTCATGATGTAGGGTTTTGTTGGTTACATAGAAAGGAGCATCGACTATTGTTCGAAGGACTTTTGACTGGAAGGATTGGATGCGCTTTATGTTAGAATATTTTGCTGTTCCTCACAGTTCTAGTCCGGAAGTCCAAATAGGTTTCAGTATTGTCTTGTAGATCAATAACTTGTTTTCAATAGAAAGTTTAAATTTTCTGTTTATTAGTCGGTATAGTTGGCCGTATCGTTGGTTTAGTTCCTGCCTTTTAAGTCTAGTATGAGGATTCCACGGTTGTCGTCGGTCTAAGAGAAAGCCAAGGTACCGGACTGTGTCTGAGAAAGGAAGCTGGATGGTGTTAACATAAACTGGTGGACAGGATTTACGACAAAGGGTGAAGGTTATGTGTATACATTAGGATGACAGTGTTCAATCAGGGAGAGGTACATTTGTAGTTTTAATGACGCTGTTTTAGGATCCGAGCTGGTTGAAGCATAGAGGTATCATCAGTGAATGTAAGCATTCCTAAATTATGTTTTTTACAATCGTATGATGAATCCAGATAGCAGTAATAAAAGATGTAGGAAAATAAATTCTCCACACGATAGTCGGAGCGATTTGGGATCAGAGTACAGACAGTAAACAATCGATCTTTGATGTGTATTTATTCAGTTAAAAATAATGGTCACTGAAAGTGATACGGTTTTACATAAATAACAATGATTAAATTGTGAAATTGTAAAAATTTTGATCAGAATATAATAATCACATTTTACGCTCCAATAAAATAAAATAATAATAATGTAGAGATGGTTGACCGTTGATATAATATGAGAAGGAGTGAGTCGAGGGTGCGGTCAAATAAATAATAAATTAAAATATATTAATTATTTTAATTTTTGCCGACGTTTCGTCAGTGTGTCTCGTGGACACACTGACACAGTGTGTCCACTTCTGTCGTAGTGGAAGGATGTCTTATTTCAGGATTCTTGGTTTTCTCATCGTAATCCCCTGAAGACGACCTGCAAAGTGGGTCGAAACGTCGGCAAAAATTAAAATAATTAATAAATTTTAATTTATTGTTTATTTGACCTCACCCTCGACTAACTCCTTCTCATAAAATAATAATATGTATGTATACATTATTATTGTAAACAATTTGTTATATTATAATTCTGAAATCGCTTTAATTGTGCACGCGGTACCGCCTTAACAAGCCTGCTCCATATCTGACT